TATGATTAATGAGCTTCGAACACAGTTCACGAACAACTATTATTGGAAAGAGAGAATTGTAGTAATTGAAAATAATTAAAATCAGAATTTCAGAATTTCATTCATTCACGTTTATTCATATTGTTAAACAACACTGGTGTTTTTTGGTAGCTTAATTAGGTTTCAAAAACAAAAATGTAAAATAAAAACTTATTAGCATACCTTATGGTTTAAATGTCAGTTGATTCATTAGGTTGAATTAAAATATATCCTGATTATCAGTCTGCAACATTTAGTGAACAAATTCTTCGTATACTACAGTTATGGAAATCGAGCTTTATTGATGGCACAGTAACCATAACTCCACCCACTAGTATGTCGACGATTTTAACTACAACAATGTCAAATCTATTCCTTGCATAGATTTCATTTCATCCTTTTTCGCATTTTACTTTTCATCGTTTTATTAATGACAACTTCAATTTAGATCAAATATCTAAACAATCAACATTTCCTTTCAAGAGAATAAAAAAGCCCAAAGTTCCTTGGAAATATCGTATGTTTTAGCGTAATACACTGAGACCAATCTAGTCCCATCTTTATCTACGTCTAATTCTAGTCGACATTTTCTTCCAGAACGGGATACAGTAGGTTTTTTCCTGAAGTTACCATGACACAACTCAATTGTTGCCTTTTCATACATTGAATACAACCCAAATGGTTACCGCGAAAAAATCTGGGAGATTGGGTCATATGAATAAAAATGATAATTGCTCATGAGTACTTGCTCCGGAGCAAAGTGAGTCTACTCCGCGGCACTGAGCAGAAGCTCCATTTCGTGCGAATAAAAACTTCGTATGTCTCCGAAGAACTTAGTCATGTCTCGCGAGCATTTGCTCGTTGTGAACAAGTGATAGTGCAGGCTAAGGGTTTTAAAAATTGGTTTCTTGAGGTTACATACGTTACGCGTATCGCGCACATTTGTGCGGAATAAAGAGCAGTGTTTTGTTGTCTCGTTCTTTAAATTCCAATATGAGTAGCAGTCACGAAAAATAGGCGCCAGAGGCCCAGCTAGTTTTTGCAGAAATGCTAAGCGAATATAAAATTATTTTTGAAAAGAAACAGATTTCAAAAGTACGAAACATTACAAAGTTTGAAAAAACAGTACCCCGAAAAATTCCAAGTAGAAAAGAACGACGGCCAATTAACATAGAAGATATGCAATATGAAAACGCGCCTGAAAGCAAACGCCGATAGAAATCGTGCCAACCATACATTGTCCTTTTCGAATCGGCAAAGCTTCTAATCGTCTACATCATGAGAATTTCGCCTTAAATTGTACGAATTGTTTCATACGAAACTGACAAGGATTTCCGAAACTCGAAGCAAACAGTAATTGCTTACTTTTATTCATACAACCGATTTAGAGTAGCCATTCTTATCTTCAAGTATCTTTATTTCTTCGGAAAACAACACAAAAGAGACATACTACTCATGGAACAATAGATATACTACTCCGATTTCAACATAGAGGCACTTCAAGGTTACGAGCTGGTCGAAGAGGAGTACACTGTCATCCAATCTGGAATTATTGTGTGTTCACAAGCATTACAGAAACCAGGAAAGTTGTAAGAATATACTAATAATGATTTGCTATCACCATTTTAATGCGAAAAAAAGTTATAATATGCTTAGGTGTCTCTCTTCTACGACTTAGTCACTGAGCGAAAACATTCTGCCATACAGAGCCGAACCCTTCACCAAAGCCTTGGTTGCGGCAATGAATTTTGTGTTCAAGGAATGAGCAGTCTTCTATCGAAATCAGCGCTAGAAAAGGTGGAGAAACTCGGAATAGTAACCACATTATGGCAGTAAACCTTTAATAAGGACTGGATCACGCGGTCGTTAATCTCACTGTTCCTTCAGCTGCCAAACCCAATGAGGTGCCAACAAAGGTAACCCAATACTTAAGCATAGTGAAGATGCTATTTAACTCCATGAGCTGACTGGTCACACACCTCTTCCGATCTGTTGCCACGCTGGAAGCAAAGGTTTGCGAGAGGAGTTTGGACGAATTCTTAGAGAATTAAGCGCCGACGAATTGCACATGAAGTGCACAACAACAAAAAACAAGAGGTAGCAGTCACTTTGTGAAGATCCCTGTACACTAAAAGTGTGTTAATTTTACCTAATAATTTTAATATTAACGAAGTGTTAAGGCGAGTACTGAAACGAAACTTCAAAAAAAGTGTCCAGAACCTAGACACCAAAAGCTGCTCCTCCCCCTTCAATTATTGGAATTTCTGCCCTTATTAAGCATTAGTACATCGGTTTCGGGGAAAACAAACTCAACTTTTAAATTCATTTCTCCCACAGTACTCTTATATAAGCTGGCATTTATTTTATAATTTTGGTCTATACTTGAACTACTGAGTTGCAAATTTAGCAGTTAAATGGGGGATTTTTTCTTAAATACTAAAACCAAGTTATATATTTTTACGTTTGCCTTTTATTAATAATTAACTGAAACAAATTTACATTATTTTTACTACTGTTTTGCGGATGTAATAGTTGGCGGGACAAAAATCCATCCTTAAATATACTACCTAAAATTACTTAATTATTGCTTGAATCTAAAAGTATTTGAACTTTAGGCTGTTTGGCCTAGCAAACGAAAAATGACATCGTGATGAAATATTGAAAAAGACACGATTGATGTAACATCATAAGGAAATTCACATCGCTTCATGATGATGCCTATGGGGAGGGGAGGAAGGGGTGAAAAGTGGGCGTGGTCAGGCTCGCCCCGGAAATTGGAGGTTGGAGCCACCTACGTTGAGGCGTACACAAGTAATTTACCTCCCAGGAGTTCTATATAAAACACCTTTTGTGTCTATATTGTATTTATTAATAAATTAATTGGGAAATAATAAATATCCCTGGATGTCTGAGCACGCTACGTCATGAATCTTAAAAACAGGTTCATTAAAAGAGCAGGAATGGCCAGAAGTTGGCCAATGTGTGTGTGTGTGTGTTCGTGTGTTCTGGACACGCGCTTCTTTACGGTTATTTTTGTTGTTGTTGTTTCAAGAACATCCCTTAATACTATAATCCTGTTAAAATAGATTGGTATTGACATTTGCACGAAGATGATGTTCGCATCAGTTTCAGAGTTTTTAATCACGTGAGCGTTGTTATAAACATTGATGGTTTTGACTTGTTTTCAATTAGGCCCTATATAGCGGTCTGCTCTCTTTAATGCAGGAGAAGGTAATGGTGGTGATTCAGGGCTTAGCACATCGGCTCCACTTCACTGATAGTCTCGACTTTTGAGACCGAAGAGGACTTTAAAGTGGGTCTCCAGTTTGTATACAAGAATCCGAGCCTCGCGTAAAGGACCTAAACCAAAGGAGAAAATCGCTTCACGTCACAGGGGTTTTAAACTTGGACATCAATTGCTGAGTCTCAAGATCAATGACTAGACATTAGCCAATACATCGAGGAGCTTGTTCATAGGAAATGTATAAAGGGCAAATATCATCTCTCAGGACAATCGGTTTTTGCGTTCTCTTCAGTACATCGTTTATTCTGGGTAGTTGGCGAAGATTGAAAATTGGCAAATTCTTGTTTATTTGGACGTATAAGAGAGAACGTTTTTCCGGGGGCAACATCCAAATCCAATCAGGTGAGGGGAATGCATCCTAATGATGCGGTTATGCGATGAATTCTGATCTGTAGTTCCCCCCAATTCTATTATATTAAAACTGGATAGCCGGTTAAGATGGAGCTAATGATGGTTGCTAATTCAGTTGAATGTGTCTGCCTCTAGAGAGCGTTATAGTGGCAACAACCACAGCAATAAAGTAACTCCTAAAGAGGGAATGCAAAATCTGTTTCACAAAAATCACTTTCTCTTCAGTACTTCTTTTAGTGCTTAAAAGTAATTTAAACTGCGGATCATATTGCATTTGGGTAAGTACTACTAGAGCACATTGCTACTGCAGACGAAAAGTCCACACCAACAAAAAACATCCTAATGAGGGGAATCCATTATAATGAAGGAATGACACGACTTCTGTTCTAATGTTTATGTCAGTGCAAGATAGATCGCAAATATACAACATCGGCGCCTCATAATTGTCTTGTGCAGGTACTAGAGCACTTTTCAACAGGGAACAAGCGTTCACAAGAGGCTCATATCGAGTGGATGCAAAATGTTTTCTTGCATTTATTTATCTAGTACTAAGGATGGTTGATTAAAACGGAACATCGGCATCTCCAAATGCACTTGCACATTTAGTAGAGAGCGACAAGTGTCCTAACAGACGAAATGGCTCCTAACGAGATGCACAATTTGTTTCTCTGCCTTTCTCTCCAGTACTTCATTTAGTACTGAATAGTTCTTAAAAGCACTCGAGCAGGTACTGGAGAGGATAACAAGAGGGAACAATAGTTCGCACCAGTAAAATTCCTCATAAAGGGCAGAAACCCTCATAATGATGACACTGCCCTGCGATTTCTGTTCTGACGTTTCAGTCAGTAGTCATTTAGCACTGGGTAGTTTATGAGGAGGCTAGTACGTCTGCGGCTCCTGCTGCGCTAGAACGCGTAACTAGAGAGGATAGAGGCGTGCGACAAGTGTCCGCACCAACAAAGTGGCCTCTAACGAGGGGCGGTGGGCACGGGGTGGGCGTGTCGGGAGCCGGCTCGGCGCTGCGCAGCCCACGTGCCCTGGCGGGCGTCCGTTCGGCAGGGGCGCGGGGCGGAGGGGGCGGAGGCCGCGGCAGGGCGGCAGGTGCGAGCACGGCATTCCGTCCGGGCGGCCGGCAGGCAGCGGCAGCGGCGGCAGCTGGCAGATGGTGGCGCAGGGCTTGTGGGAACGCGGTCTCGCCCTGGCTTCCCACGGTCTCCTGCACGCTGCTGGTGGTGGTGGTTCCTTCTTCTGGGCTCCCCCTCCGCGACCCGCGCCCCCTCGACTCGTGGCAGGTGTGTGCCGAACGCGCGCGCGCCCCCTCCCGGCCCCCGCCCCCGCCAGAGCGCGACCCCTCGTCGGAGGGGCCCCCTCCCCCGCCAGCGTATATAAGCCCCCGGCGCCCCCTCGTGCGCCAACACACGCCGTCTGACGCTCGTGCCGTGCACACACGCGTACACGCCACACGCCGTCGCGCCTAACACGTGCACTTCGAGTTTCGCTTCGAGTTCGCTGTGACGTTTCGAGAGATTGGAGACATGTCTGCGCTTGCAGTTGCTGCCAAGAGGAGCCTGGTGCATCGCATCAAGAAGGTGGGTGTCATCACTTGTGCTTTTCCACAATTTTCCCAATTTTAGATGATTCATTTATTTTAAATTTTGTTCAAACTCAGCTTTAGTTAATAGTTTCAAAATTTAAATTTATGTCTGTTAATTTTAATGCAATCCATTTACTGAGCAGTTATAGTGTTAATTGGCAATTTCAGTTTTCTAAAATATGACTTTTCAAATTTATTTATTTTCTAAATTCTCCAAGAACGTTTTTTATTTTCGAGTGAAATCGTCAGTCTTTTAATGTTCAAAATTCTATTTTATTTCAAAGTATGTAGAGCTCAAAAATTTGTTATGGCATGAAGTGATTTTCTCGTGTTTTCGATTTCGCGAACTGCAATCAGAGTTCTAACGGTGGTGTGCTCTCTTTCTGTGCAGATGCTAAAACCAGTGGCGCGCCTTGTGAGCCGGTCCAGCAGCTCTCCCAAGCCGAGCCGCGCGCCGCCGGCGCCCACAGAGGCCGACTTGGACAACCTGGCAAACGAGGCGCTCGAGCAAAAGCGGGTGCTGGCGGAGAACGCGGCCAACGAAGCGCGCGTGCGCGTTATGTTCCTCGCTGCCCCCTCCACCGCGCCGGCTGCCGCCGCCGCCGCCGCCGCCGCCGCCGCGAGCTCGTGCTGCGCGCGCGCCGACGCCGACCTCTGGGTGACGGCCACCATCTCGCGATGCCAGCGCGCCGAGCAGCAGCGGCCGCTGTGAGAAGCGAAGCGCCAGCCCGCGGAAGCCGCCGCCAGTGGCAGCACGTGCGCGCCACGCGCGGTCGACACCAGTACCTGCCCCCACCCCAGCTTTGTGATAGGCGCCGAGCCGCCGCCGCCGCCGCCGCTGCCAGCTCGACTGCCAAGGGCATCGAACCTACGCCGGCAGGCTTTTTGTTTTTATTCAGGACGAGTGAAACCAGGCACGATTCTTATTTTGTAAATACTTTTATTAAAATAATGACCTCTATTTTATTATCACTTGATATTTAATATTTTAATAATTTTTATGCAATTCCTATTGTCATTCAGATTTTTAAAAAGAGACAGCTACGAAATTCGTAACGTTCTTGTCTGATTTACATTTGTGGAATCATCTTCAAATATCTTTCATTTATATTTTGAATAATTAAAGTGCATTTATGTTAAAGAGCCTGTTATTTATTCTTGAAAAGTATGTGCCTGGTTCTGAGCGAACGAAAATAGTTAATGAGTTCGTTGCACCGTCCTGCTCTCTCAACGTGCCAATTTTTGTGCTTTTGCACCTCACTTGATTCAGCAGATGATTGTAAATGATTTCTTTAGCAATCATAGTGTTTGATATTGTATTAATGTTTTATGAATAATGTGATATTTTTTATGTTAAAATTCAAAACAAGAAAATCCACAAAAAAAAGTTTAGATTTTACGAAGTGATAAAAATAAGTGTTTGTGATAATTTTGTAGTATATTTGAATACTTAATTTCATATTTTGAAAAGTACCTTTTTTGACATAGTTTAAAAAAATTAGATTTAAGGATCAGATAAAATATTTGAAGGTAAGATCAGCATGATCTGAAATTATTTGAGTTTCGTCTTGAGATGACTGATAAATTATTTGATGTACCTAAATGTCTCAAGATGAACAATGCTATATGAATTGTAATTTTTATTGAAATATACACATGTGTAATATTGTACTCATGTTTGAATTTGTGATGATTTGAGCTTTAATTTTTTTAACATGAACCAAACACTTGCTTGTGTTGGGTTATTGAATTACTGAGTAATCCATTGTCTTCCATTTTATGCTTAATAATTTGAAAATAAATTGTTTTTACTTTTTTAACTCTGATGCTTTAAATTTCACCTTGTCTTCCACTCTTTAGGATTCCTTTCAATATTTAAATCACCCCGGCAGAGCTTGTGGGATGGGGAGGTCGACCTTGGCTCAATTCTATGAGTACCAGTTTAGAGGGGGATGGGGAAAGTTAGGAGGTCTCGCGCACGTGGCGGTTCATTAGAGCTGCTCACAGAAGGCGCCTCGAGTTTCGGACTTAATAGTTCTCTCGCCCGCCGCGAGATGGCAGCACCACTGACAACAACTGATGCACTATGCTTTCGAAAGAAACTAGTTTTGTATAGCGGGATGTTTAATGCTTGGATATTTTTGAAGGGGAAATATAACGAGTAATCGGGATCCAAACACTGTTCTGTAATAATTATAAAATAATTTGCATGTTTTATATTTGTGTTTCAAAAATACTTAGCCATGTTTTTATCCCTGACTGTGTATTTGGGGAAAGCAAAGGGTTTCTCGGAATTCTATTTTCCTCGACCATGATTGCTTCTAATGAAGCAATCATGCAATAAGGTCGCATCATCCTCAATATCACCATCAGCATTCACACCATCCTCATTATCATTGGTTCAAAATTATTTTTTCATACTAGTCTGGCTAACGCTTAGGCCCACTTAGAATCAGTCAGGTACTGAAATCATAATAAAATGAACCTTTCGTCATAATTGCGATGCGAGCTATTATGTTACTGGAAAAGAGCCCTATAAAAATATGAATAGTGGATTCTGTTCTGAAGAATTGCCCGTGAATACACGTAGATATTACTCAACACTAAATGTTTGTACTTTTAGACGTGCTATAAGGAGGAGATTGCATGAAAATAGATATGCTCAATTCCTTCTTTTAGTGTAACCACACTCGTATTTCTACTTTGTCTTTGTCTATTGTATTTCACTTTTATTTCACCTTTACATGTTGTATTTCACTTATATTTTGCCATGTGCCTCCCAGCAATTTATTTTCTAGTAACTTTCACTAATATAGTAAATAGAATGCATCGCCATAAAATTACGAAATGCTTGAAGACAACTGGTTAAAGCGAGCGATTGAATTTGATTTATCAGCGTTGTTCAAATGTGTGGTTTCTAGTGTCTTGTGATTCAACATATTCGTAGGACCACACTGTAGGGCTGGTCACTTAAGAAACTAAAGATATTTGCGCAAGGGTGATTTAGTCTCAAATGTACTTCAAGAAATATATTTACGTTTTTAATTACTTCACATTTCAAGGATCGATTCCATTTATCGAAATAAAACCTAAAATATATAAATAAATAATTTCCGTAAATTTTAAATTAATGCACAAATAATTATCAACAATTGCACATTTTAATAAAATAAAACCCCCAGGTATTAGTGTTCAACAAATTCTATGGGGCGAATGAAAAAGCTACATATGCTTTCCCTCAACTGCGCCAATGAAGAACGAGGATCGGAGGCGTGATAAAAAACAAACGTTCTCGCCTCATTTTTGTAATAATTATATTATTAATGTCAAAGTGTTATAAAAGACTAATAATAAGAAAATATATTCTACAATTTTGTTTTGTATTTTATATTGTCCTTTTTAAATGTGTAAATCAGGTTTCAATTATTGTCTGAATAGCTATTGTTAAAAGTAAATTAAAATAGTTTCGACCATTCTATTAGTATAAAAATTTAAAAGTAATAATTTTGATTTGTATTTTATGTTCTCTTTATCTTGAACAATTTGTAACATCTTGATGAAGGACAGATAAGTTAACTCAAGGTATGGAAAATGTATTTTCAGTTGTAACGAAATTCATTCAATATCCTAATTGCATTCTGCAAATAATAAAAAAATTAAGTCAGGAAAAAAACTTTTAAAGTCAGCACAAAATACAAAATACGTAACATACACAAATCTGAGTGTTTATATAATTTGTTATCTAATAATTGTTAATAAAATCAAAAATTAGATTGTAAGTCTACACAACTTCCTTCGCAGGAGATAGTAAAGAATGTACCTCAAAGAAAAAATCTATAGCTAGATTTTGAAAGAACTTTCAACGACTGAGTTCTTCAAGATTAACAACACTAGATGAATATTGATGAACAGTTGTATCGACGGTCAGGATTTTAAAAGCAATTAATTATGCTAAACCGGATGGTTTAGCATAGTAGCAGTAAGGCTGTAATAGAACTACTTTTCTTAGATACTGAGTTGAAACCGGCCTGTCGAGTATTATAAGGCCGGCTGCTCTGTTCTGTCGTTTTCATCTAACAGCCGTCTTCCTTCTAACAGTTTTAGGTTGAAGCCAGAGTAGTACCTTGTACAACGGGCTACTGACTGTCTAGTAACTTTCCTTCCCCATCCTGTCACCATCCCTGTCCTTAAGGGAAACGGGCCATGAAATTAGTCAAATTATCACATTTTGTTTTCTATCTAAATAAATGTTTCAAAATTTGCTCTTTACAAGTTTTTTTCTTCTCCAGAGCCTATAAGCCCCTTAATTACCTTTTAAATGTCCTAGTGCACAGCAGTCATGCCTCCCCCTGTCTTTTGGCGTAGGAATCAAGTACAGCTTTTCATTCTTCTTGTATTGTATTCTCTTCATTTTCAGCAGAACATGGTTTGCTGGAAGATGAAAGATGAACCGGATACAATACAAATTACATTATGGATATTTATCCTTTTTTAAGGTAACTGTTACTTTTGCCTGATTTGGACGGTACAACTGTGTGCAAAAAGGTGGTCAGCTGGTATGCTAAACCATGATTCTCTGAATGAAGAAATGACTGAATGTGTTATAACGCAATTATTAATGCCATATACAGCAAATAGTACGTCATCTTATGTACCATAAGTTGTCAGTTTATGAACGATTAATTGCAACGAAAACGGTCGATTATAATGCTGGGAGAGAAACAAATTTATTTATATATCTATAGTTCTATATTTGAAGGATTGATGGGGATATTTAGGAGAAGCTTAAATGGCTACTTACTTTCAAAATTTCAGATTCACCAAAGTTGCAATTGGAACAGCAATTTTGGACTTGTACTTTAGAACAAAATTGTAGGTGAGAATTCCGTGACTGCAGCTCTTCAAAACACGTGATGTAAAAAATAGCAATTTTAACATTGGCTATACACATCGGTCAGTGTACCCTTAAGGTCGAATAATCCCGTAGTAATCATGATCTCGATCCACAGCGCCACTTGGCGAGTACACCATGTTAATGTTTTATATAGTAATATCAAAATAATGCCCAATGCACCTTGGCCTATTCAAATTCGCGTCTCTAGCAATTCAATTTTCTTTGCCAATTTCTTTGATTTAACCGTTTCAAATTAAGGAAGTCACACGTAAAACACTTCATATGATTGCTTTCCGGGCAAGGACCAATTCCAACTCCATTCCCAACAGGATACCTCTACCTCTCCCGCGAGGGGTGCATCTCCTGCATCCTACGCGACAAATTCACACTCTCGCTCCCGGAGAACTTGTTAGGAAGCGTAATTCGACGCGATAAACTTCTTCGAACTCTTACACAGCTGGTAGCTCGCAAGTGACAGAGAAAACTCTCGAAATGTGAAAATAAATTGTTTGCATAAATATTTTGAATTAATTCTCTCTACCACTAGAGTAGGCATTGCATTAATTTGTATAAATTAAACCCACCAATTTGACTCTCAGTCAATTTTGAAGAGAGCGAGCTTTGGGGAAAAGCAGAGAGCTGCGAAATCAGACGTCCGGAAGTGAGATGTGGACCTCCTTAGTGCAGCTGCTCTCAGGGAAATTGATTTTATTTTGTTTTGTCAAAGAAAATGTATGTAAATATGTTACGTATAGGGAATACTAAGTACAAACTGCACACGTTTTCTTGGCCGCCAGAATCGCGTCCACACCTGTTTATATAGTTAAATGATAAATAGAAGTACCCCAAAGCATAGTTGGGAACATTTAAAAACTAAGCATGTTCGCTCCCAAGTATTAGAAATCTTAATGAATCGGTAAACTGATCTACTCGATATTTTAGTATTTCTAACGAAATAGTAAACCATACATCCAGCTCCAACCCTAACCCGTCACAAAAGGAGAGCTTAACGAAATGTGCTCTTAGTACACTTTTAAACTTTTAAACATACATAGTACGCTTACAATTAAGTCCATACTGGATATAAATTACGCAAGAATAACTATAAGAATAATATTTGGAGTTATATTAATGCTAATAACTCAGTTTCACAAATAATGTGAGATAATCCCTTGTTCTACTGCGCCTTTCAATTATTACATGCAATTGATTTTATGTTAAACCATTTACACGGTTGCCAGATGGTTAGAAGAGCCTCTTGCCCAAATGAGTATCAATCCCCCCATTGACAGCCTAAAAAAGGCGAAATCACTTGTTGAACATGTTTAAAGAAATAAAATGTTTCAATACACAAGACAATGTGTCTCTTCCGGAAGTTTCAGAGTAACCACGGCCCCCATGTCCCCTCCCTTGTGCGCTCGCCAATGTTCATCCATAACGTCGATCATTAACGTTGTCGAATTATTCACGCCGATCATTAACGCTGGAAGGTCTCAAAGTAGCCGAAAACTACTGTAATTGTAATTCAATTGTCAAGTCAACAATTGCACTGCAACCCTTCCATTCGAAAATCCGGTGAGTAGAAGAAAAGAGTCGGTGGCAAACAAGACGATTACGGAGGCCCAGGATTACGGCGAGTGTAGTGTATTTTGCATTGCTTGGCTGAGTAGCGGCGGCGGCGGCGGCGGCGGCGGCGAGGCGGCCCGTGCCGTGGCGGCGGCGGCGAGCACGCGGG